CCACGATAGATAATTTGAGGCGGAGAGAGTAACTGCCACTCCTTGATTTAGTAATAACAATACTTATTACACATGTTATATATTTATTGGATTATTATTGTCGGCGGCGAAGCTAAAATTTTACTAAAAAATGTCAAATATAACAAACAAATAAATAAAGTAAGGGGAATCAACATATAACATATACTTAAAAATAAAACGGGGCTCAACTCAAATGAAGAAACCTAGCCTGATATGGGAAGTACTAATTTGGTTCAGATAGGCAATGTCATCGGCTAGGTAATCAATAAGAAAATAAGTGCTAAGTTTCAAATCGGTGAATAAACCGAAAGGAAAGAAGAGACTTTCTCGCTCGGGGCAGGCTTACCACCTTCTTTTTCCGGGTTGAGCTTGTTCAATTGAAGCTATTGCTTTGATGCTCTTCCCTTGTTCAAGAGAAAGCGGGGACTTTTTTTAACTACCGACCTTTTGATCTTAACATAAGGTGGGTTCGCCACTTTGGTGTAAACACACGGTATAAGTACGGGGTACCTCTTCATATTTAGTAAATGGCGTGGGGTAGCCACTGTTTAAGCTGGTATTTACTTTTTATCCAGCATTTTTAATGCTTAGCAATAGTATCCACTAGTCTATTAAAATTAATATGAAAAGATTGTGTTACCCTTTCTTCTATCTCTTTTCCCAAACGGAAATGCAGTGTATTTATACTGTTTTTCCGCATCTAAGGTGCGCAATCGTGTATTCGGAACCTCACCTTCACCCATTGGTAAGGAAGGTCAACGTGAGCACTAAATGGTACGAACTTCTATTAATGCTACTGAATGTTAAATGCCTTTGGTTATAGTTCTTGTTGATAAGCTAAACAGGCATGAAGAACATAAGGGAACGATTACAAAAGCAAAAGGAGAATGGGGAGAGGTTCCAGATTTTAAAAAAAGATTAAGATATGACGTTGTGAAAATAAGAAAAAGAGTGATGAGTAAACAAGAAATGCAATTCCTTCCCAGAAGTTAAGGACATGTAGTCCTAAACTTAAGTTCAATAGTTAAGGACACAAGTTCAAAAGTTAAGGATAGGCAGTCCTTAACTTACAGTTACAAGTTCTAAAGTTAAGGACAAGAAGTCCTTAACTTACAGTTACAAGTTCAAAAGTTAAGGACAATAGGTCCTTAACTTTGATTTCCAAGTTCAAAAGTTAAGGATAGACAGTCCTTAACTTATAGTTACACGTTCAAAAGTTAAGGACAAGCAGTCCTTAACTTACAGTTACAAGTTCAAAAGTTAAGGACAATAGGTTCTTAACTTTGACTTACAAGTTCAAAAGTTAAGGACAATAGGTTCTTAACTTTGACTTACAAGTTCAAAAGTTAAGGACGCTTGGTCTTGAAGTTTGAGTTCCAAGTTCAAAAGTTAAGGACATGTAGCCTTGAAGTCCTGAACTTAGAGTTACAGGTTAAAAAGTTAAGGACATGTAGTCTTGAAGTCCTGAACTTAGAGTTTCAAGTTCAAAAGTTAAGGACATGTAGTCCCGAAGTCCTGAAGTTAAGGACATGAACAGAAGGGTATTTTCGTCCGGGCAGTTAAAGTTTATTAAACCAGTGGCTAAAGACTAAAGACATCTAAAACACTGGCTTTAAAATAAAGACAGGAGCTGTTAGTGGCTATTTGTGCGCATCGCCCTCATATTTACACTAACATAATGATTACTCTTTACTTTATAATCTACCTAACTAATACTAGTTAATTGGTTTAGTGTACCGAATGTGAATAAATTTTAATTGATGTTTCATTGGAAAAAAACATGATTAACATTTAAATATTTTTTTGCATTCCATGTTTACATCAAAACTATTTAAATTATGTATCAAGGTTAAGCACCCGTCTTGGATTTGAATGTGCCCTATGCGTCGGCCATACTCATGCGACGGCGTCAATAAGGAATAGAAGGGGAGCCTCTTGACGTAATTAGTAAAGTTGCCGCTATGTGACTAGGAGGACGGAGGTCATGGATTAAATAGGTGTCCCAAAACTTTAAAAAATATTTGCATTCGGTATAGGGCACATTTATATCACAAAACTTTAAAAAAAAATTGTAAAATGAACCGAAGGGAGTAAAATAAATTTTTACTTTATATACGAGTTTTGCTAATTTATTACACAACATTAATAAGTCAGTATTATAATTTATACTCATTTTTATTCCTCAAAATATCATACCAGCGCGTTAATTATAATGATTTTTTGTCTTTAACCCAACTTCCCCCACTTTTTTTCTTCGCTTTTATTCTTAAATTAACAACAATGTATTGTCGCTTTCGAAATAATAGCTAAAATTTATATATATATATATATATATATATA